TGCAGCCTGACTCACAGCCTGCATGCTTAGCTACCCCTCTATCCCCACCTTCACCTCTGCTGCTGGCCCTCACACATGGAGATGGTGTCCCCTTGTCTCCTCCAAGTCCTCTGGCCACGAATATGGATCAATAGGGAACTGTGTGCTTCCACCCCCTCCCCGCCCACTCTGTCACTCAATCATTCAGGAATAATTCACGGAGATCTAACCAAAGGAAACAAAGTTATTCTACAGTCCTGCACACCCACTGCACGGAGCATTACCGAGCATGCAGGTAATAGCACCTGTTGGGCACTGACTCCGCTCCCAACCTATTAGGGACTCTAGATGTGCCTCCAGCCATGTGGGAGGTGCAGCGAGTGCCTCTCTATAACAGCCCGTGAAGAACGTGCCCACCACAGCCTCTCGTTATCTCTTGGTGACTGTCAGCCCCACACCTTCCCCAATTTTAGGACAGATGCTTTCAGGGAAATGGCATGGGTGACATTCGAAAGTCTAAAATGAATCTGGCTCCTTCACCAATCAGAACAGACCCCTGCTGCCTACAGAGATGAAGCAGGGTCTAGTCGCTGGCTCTTTGGTAGGTCCAGTGGGTGGCCGGGAGGGCTGGGGAAGTCGGGTCTCCCAGCCACGGGACACTTCTGGGGAGGGAGTTTCCAACCAATATGGAAGCATCCTATCTCCATTTTCATAGCTCTTGAATCCAAGCCACCATCCATCACAAGATACATCCTAATTTCATAGATGTTAAAATAAACATGCTTCTTAGAATCTCTAAGTAATATTTTCACATTCTCACATGCAAAACAGCCTTAACAATACGTGTGGCTGGAAAGCACTGGGGTCACTGGGGTCTTCTCCACCTAAATACCCACATACCAAGGCTTCGGGGCAAGGCTATTCTTTATTTCAAGCTCTTCTTCTGTCCCTCTCAGCTCTGGGGGGGAGAGACACCAGCTCTTCAAAAAGCCTCCTTGAGCGATGACAGCTCTGCTTGCCCATTCTGAATGTTCCTCGGTGCCCGACAAGAACTGTACATGTGCTGGCACTAACTATTCTATCTACAGCGTGCTGCGAGGTTGACACAGTGCTACAAGACAAATGGGGGATTTATGGACTCAGTGGTTTCATTTAATCACAGTGTGTGACATCCCCTGGACCAAGGCAGTGGAAATTCCCTACAAAGACATTAAGTCTGCATAGACGCTGCAATTGTGCGTGCGAGCGCATGTGTGGGGTGTGCACACACACGCATCTGTGCACACCCAGTGAGCACAGACAAGTCTGTTTCATGTGTTGATCAGTTTGTTAAAAGATAGTAAATGCTTCTGCATTAACTACTTCAAGCAGAAGGCCCCTCACCGTCTGCCTTTGGTTTTATTTCTTCTTAAAGTTTGCCTTTCTAGAGTTTGGCTTTGCTATTCGAATATAATTTCTTGATTGAAATGAACTGGATAATATGATAGATCTTATTCTGTGCTTTTTATTCTCTTTCATACTTAAACTGCTGCCTCTGGGGCAAAGAATGTGTCTTCTTTGCTTATACCATCCCAAGAACATCATTGATGCTGAACAAATAAATAACCAGAGTTGTGAAGTGAAGTTTAAAATTTATAGACCAGGCTCATCTATCAAAATTTGGACACCAGAGCACAGAGTCAATTATCACGTGTTAACTTGCTCGTGTTGGCATTTCAATGCCATCTTCCTCTCTTCACATGACCCCCTTGCCATTCCAGAACACTAGCAAAATGGAGGACACTTTAGACAAAACTCAGCTTCCCCTACAACTCTAAAAACTACTGGACATGGTACTATAATACTTACATCTCTTTATAAAAGATAAGGACCCTGAATACTCTGTCTCTGATCCTACCCTTAAGGCACAGCTGCTACCTCGGTGAGGAAATTTGGAGAGGGGAACCCAGGCCAGATGCGTAGGTGTAATAAGCGTCAGAGATGGCATCGCAGAAAGACAGCCACGGGAGGGGTCCCACCGCAGAGGGCAGGGCTCTCCTGAACTGGGCTGGTTCCCAAGAAGGGGCTCAGGCTGGGGGCAAGGAAGATGCAGACTCTTGTCTCCTGGTCTCTCTGGCTAAGAGTGTCTCTCTGGCTGTATCATTCTGCCTCCAGCTTTATCTCCACTTACCCACAGAAAGAAGCTTCTTCTTCGGGTTGAGGGTAAAGCGTTTGATTTTTCCACTACCTGGATTTGGGCCACCTAATCAGGAAGTTATCACCAGGGGCTTCAACGTGGGGAGATCATAGTAAGATCCCCTGCCTGCAACTCTGCAACGCCACCCTTGGAGAGCAGAGTCTACTACAATGAGTGCAAGGGTTCTCTGGCCATGCCTGCCCAGTGGATGCTGGCTTTATGATGGCAAGCTGTGAAATGATAAGGGCAGTGGGCGGAGAGGGGAGCATCCTGTCACCCCACCATACCTTACTCGTGGAATTCAGGAGAGAGAACATGGGTTTTACAGGACCTCAGAAATCCCCATCCTTTCTGCAATTAATGCATATGATTTGAGTGATAATAAAGAGAAATGCAGAAAAATGTTCTTTATAAACAGAAATGTTCTGCAGATTACAGAAACAGCATCTTAATGTAGCAGTATTACCTTGTGCAGAAACGGCAATCCACAACCTAAACCCTTGACTCTGGGGGTGTAGATGTGCAACCGACACAAGCACAAACCGCACAGCCTTTTCCCAATGCTGTAGGCTCCTCAGCCTTCCTGGGTAAGTGATGGGGAGTGGGCAGTTATGACCAGACCTCCAGGCTGATCTTTCCTTTGGAAATATACAGGGGGAAAAGGTGGTGGGGGGAGGCAGTAGAGGGAGAAGTGGAGCTGTCAGTGTGCTTGATGTTAAATAAAACCTCCCAAGACTCAGCTGAGAATTTTAGCAGAATCCAAATGTGCTAAAAAAAAAAAAAGAAAAGAAAAAAAGAAAGAAAAGGCATGGCTCCCATCTCTAAGGTTCACAGCTAAGCTGGCTTAGAATCACACAAGCCAAGGTTAAAAATATAAAGCAGCCATCCCTGAATGACACGGGCTCCAAGAAGGGAGCCTGAGGTGTGTTGTTTGGGGGTGGAGGGAAGAGAGTCTGGGTTCAGAATACAGGTGTTTATTGGAGGGCACACTGTCGAAAAGCGAGATGCTCAGAATTTTGCTGTTTTGCACTTAAAAGGCACTTCGCATTGGCAAAGGGTTTCATAATGATCTTCAGATTTCCCATCGAGGAAACCCTGGCCTGCATTTGAATGTGGCCGCGGCTGACCCACTCAGGTCAGCTCTGCTGTTCAACGCACTTGCCTTCCCCATCCTGGGGTCTGGCTCAGACGCTATCCTCACACACCCAGGGGTGGGGGTCACAGCTTGAAAAGCACAGTAGGCCATCAGTATTGGCACAGAGCCCAACCCGCCACCCTGTGCCTCCCAACTGCACTAACCAGACATAACGATGCTGGGGCCACCCACAGGCCACTTATCCCCTGCTTGGATCCACTGGAGACAGACTATGTGTCCGTCTCCTGAGAACACTGCGTACCCCATTCCTTGTCCCCACAACCCATTCCCTGCAGACCAGAACAAACTGGCAAAAGTGACCAGTTGGCCCTGTGGTTCCCCCTTGTTGTAAATCTGGGGCCCCCTCTTATGAGCCGAGTGGGGTCTTCTTTCTAATGAAATTGTCCTTTGTATAATACGCTTAGGACCTCTGCTGCCTGAAACAGTCGATAAAAATAAAAGAAGTAGCCTCAGCTACTGTGTTAGCTGCCATGTTATCCCTCGCCAGTATCATTACTATGCAGACATTTCTAGAAAGTCTTCAAGGGGTCAGGTGAATGGTGAGAATTCTGTGACCTGTGTGCTATGGGGAGCCCATACATTACACCACTCCCAGGGACACCCTGACTCAGCCCACGGGTAGGTCAACCCTACACTTCAGCACCGTTCAGGGCTTGGGAGGCAGATGGGCTTTGAGGAGTGGAGACTGCACCTTACAGGACTCCAGTCTGTGCCCAGACACCGCCAGCAGGGATCATTCTCGCCCCTTCCCCCGCACGTGGTGGGAGAGTGGACAGTCTGCGTGCGACTGGCTGCCCCCAGGACCCTGGCCAGCCCTCTCCAGGGGTGCCCACCAGTATTCTAAATCCCACATCTTGGCTGCCACTTAGAAGCACCAACCAATGTTAAGTATCTTTTTTTTTTTTTTTTTTTTTTTTTTTACATCTTTAAAGCACTTCAGAAAAGCCTTGAGGAGTAGACAGGACAAGGACTGTCTTCCTGCCCCTTGTGATGGATGAGAAAATAGATGGGAGGGTTTAAGGAAGTTGCTCAAGCTAAGTGGCAGAGCTGAGACTGGAATCCAGGGTTCTTTCCACTACTCCGAGACCACTGACCCAGGGCCAGAGCGACTGGGGGCTCTCAGGCCCCTAGAGCAGCAAACACCTGGAGCTGGCATTGAGGTTCTCTAAGGGACCTTTCTCACCCAGAGACCTCTGGGGACGCCCCCTCATTTGGCCTGAACTGTGGGGACCTCTCCCAAGCAGAGCCCCATCCCTAGGCGTCTCTGTCCTCCCCTCGTCTTCTCAAGGTCCTTCAGGTGCCAGGGACCAGGAAAGATCTAGCGAGGGTCATTACAGGGTCGTGTTCGGGCAGCACGTGTCCTGACTCGCCCTTTCCTTGGGCACCCTAAAGGCTGGACACGGAGCCTCCCCTCCAGCCGGCACTGAGGTTTGACTGGAGAGCTCCCTTCCCTGCCAGCGACTCCAGTGGCGACAGGGAACGCCCTTTGCAGTTCGAGAAACGGCGTGTCCATCCAGAAAATCACTGGGAAGTTCTGGGTAAATCCGTCTGCTAGACCCTCCCCCCCACCACGTGTCGGCCTGAACCCACACAACCGGCGGGGTTACGGGGAAGAGGAAACGCAGGCGATGGGTAGCCCTAAGGACGGATCGGAGCTCCGGCGCACGGAGTGGGGCTCCCCCTCCTCACCTGTACCAGTCCAGCCCGCGGCCGTAGTTCCTGTCGAAGAAGTGGGGCTCCGTGCCCAAGGCCCGCACGTCCGGGTGCACGCGGATAAACTCCAGCACGGCCCGGGTGCCCCCCTTCTTCACGCCCACGATGAGGGCTTGGGGCAGCCGCTTGGTGCCCAGCTTGGGCGAGCCGGAGTGGTTGGAACCCGAGAGGCGTGGGGCGGGCGCGGCGGCGGCGGTCGCGCTGGGAGCGCTGGGCTCGCTGGGCGTCGGCCCGGGGGGATCGCAGGGGCGGGACTTCTGGAGAAGTTTCTGGCCGCCCGCACTGGGGCCGCGGAGGCAGCGAGGCGCGCCGAGGAGGCGGCTCCGGCCGAGGTCGTCGCAGCAGCACAGGAAGCTGTAACACAGGTAAGTGCAGGACAGCGACAGCGTGAAGGCGAAGAGCAGCCTGCGCGCCCTCCGCGGCTGAGGTGGCCCCGCGCGGCCCAGGACCCTATAGGCCATGGCTCCATGGGCCCACGCCGGGGGTCATGGTTTCCGAGGGGGCACCGGCGGCGGAGCTGCTGTGGCCCTGCGGTCGCCTAGAGGGCTCGCGTGGCGCTGCCCCGGCCGCGCGGGTCGGGCGTAGGGGGCGCCGTCTTCTCTGGGCGCTGCTGGCCGGGGCGCGCAACCTGCCCGGGGATCCCGGGGGCGGCGGCTCCTCGGGGAACAGGCAGCTGCATTTCCGACATCTCCCGGTCCTGGGCGGTGGGGCTCCGGGCAGCGGGGCGGCTCCTGGCGCTCCTCGGCTCCTACGTGCGCCGCGGTCGGAGCGCGCCCAGTGCCCGAAGCCCCATTCCTGGTCCTCGGAGCGCCGCGCACGGAACGCTCGGCGGCGGCGCGGCTGTGCGGACTGGCGGGTGGGCCGGACGGTGGCGCTGGCGCCGGCTGCGTTCTGGCTCCTCGGGAAATGCCGAGCGGAGCGCGCTGCCGGCTCTATTTAAGGAGTCGCCTGACGTCAGCCACGCGGGTCCCCCGAGCCCGCGCCGCGCCCGGGGACCTGGCCCGTCCCCTACGCCCCCACTGTCTTACCCCTCTCAGAGACACAACACCCCAGGCCCTCCCCATGCAGGCGGCCCCCTAAGGAGCCCCAGACCAGCTTGGGGCGGTGAGGGGAAGGTGTCAAGGCTTGTACTCTGCGCCAGGAGGCTGGAAACCCCCACCACGCTGGGCTCTCGACACCCAGGGGTAGAAACCCAGGTCGAGATCGCGCCGACATCCAGACCAGACATACAGACCCAGGCGCAGGCTCAAGCACCCTGCTCTGATCAGCCGTCCCACCACACTGATCCGCACACGCACACACAGGAGCACACGCACCCTAACCTGGACACACCCCCACACCCGCACGGGGACGAGGGGGACAAATCCCCTAACCTGGGCCTAGAAACACCGACAGGGACACTCCCTCATCCCCCCCCCCCGCCCGATCGCCCCCAAACCCCCCCGCCATCTCGCTAAACACGCACACACAGCCCAAAATCGGACCCTGAGCGCACGCACGCCCGGGACTCGTACACGCTGTAGACGGGATGGGTGGAGGAGCCGAGCGTGATTCCGTGACTGTGCACCGAGCTCCTTAGCCCCCCGCACGCTGACTCACACCCAGGCAGCTTGCTCTGTCTCACACCCGTGAAGCACGCACTGTCAACCCATTGTCACTCCACCTCTCCCGGCCTGGCCAGAGAGCGAGTCCAGAGCCGCGGACTCCGCGCCTGGCGGGCTCCTGTCCTAGCATCCGCCCCCTGGCGGTGGACAGCTCCCCAGGGAGCTGTCCAGGGTACAACGCGATCCCTGAGGTCCAGGGCGCCTTGGGCTTCTTCACGCAGTGGCACTAGGAGGATAAAACAGAGGACAATCTAAGTGACTGCCCGCAGGACAATTCTCAGTGACCATGCTCAGAACAGGCTTGAGTGGCCGGTTCCCAGTACTGCCCTGAGGGACCACACTAGCACCTTGGATCAGAACCCTGCATCAGAACGGACCTAGACGCCCATGACCAAAAACACAGCTGGGTTGTTCCTCAACAACAATGCCAAGTTGTCATGCCTGGGTGTTTACACAGTGAGTGCCCCAAAGGATGTCCGGATGACAACCGTCACCCCACCCCCATTCAGGGTATAGCTGACTTCTTTCTTCAGGACGTAAAACTTATCGTAAGACGCTGTGAACCTTGCCCCAAACCAGGAAATATTTTGTCCCTGAACCATCCCTAAAAACCTTAGATCAATCCTTCTACTGCAGATAATAATAATAGCTACCAACTTTGTGTCAAGCACTTGGCATGTGTTAACTCATTTAATATTCACCACAACCTCTGAGATTGTTATCATTATCACCATATCACTTTGCTTTCTTAATTCTAATAGTAGCTAACATTTGTTGAGTGCGAGTTTTGTGCCAGTAATGTGCTAATCACTTGACATGCAATACCTCATTTATCTTTGAAGATAGGTATTATTATAATTCCTAATTTACAGGCAGTGAAAAGAAGGTTTAACAAATGCATACTCAGTAATTGGCAGAGCTAGGATTAAACCCAGGCAGTCTGACTCCGAGATTCAAGCTCTTAATTACAGTGCTTTGCAACTTCCTAACTTCCTTTGACCATTATTCACATAATTCTATTCGTGGTTCGTCTCTCAGATGTGAACTAATTTGTCTATGTCTCCTCTAAACTCTGACACCTGGGACTGAATGAGGAATTCCAGGTATAAATTGAAAAGTTCAACAGGACTCTCACCTCTCTTCTGTAAGCTCTATTTCTAGTAATGCCACCTAAGACTTCATTATCTTTTTTCTTTTGGCTACATCACACTGCTGGCATCTTGAACTTGCAGCCACGTAATATCTCCAAGTGTTTCTTCCAAGTGCTGCTGATTAGGGCACATCTGCCCCATACTGTGCTTGTACAGTGGGCTTCTTTGGACCCAACATGTAGGTCCTTTTATATTTGATCTGATTAAGTTTCATCTTGTCTCATCAGTTCACTGCTCCAGTTTTTTTTTTCAAATGTCTATTTGAATCTCAAGTCATGATGTAGCTTTCATTTATTCAAAAGGAGAAAGTAGAAAGATTGTATCCCAGATTTACCTTTGATTCCGTGTGCATTTTGGGCAAATGGGTTGCCCTCTCCGAGACTTAGCTTCCTCAGCTGTAAAATGGGGAACTATGATTAACCTCAGTAGCCTCTTGAGGTTCTAATGTTGTGTAATTCCATGATTCTATGATTCCGTTATTCAAAGCATGAACTACTCTCTTGACATCATGTCATCTCCACATTTGATTACAATTTAATTAATTCTTCACTCTAATTGTTAATAAAAATGTCAAAACAAATATGTTGAAAGGAGTTGCGATATATACTTTCAACAATTCTTCACGTCATGAACTTGATATTTTTGCACTCTGTTGTTAAAATCACAAGGTTAAATGTGAAGTAATCCACTGAGATAAGTACTTCTTAGAAGAAAAATACAGATACAGTTATTTCCCATAATTCTGTGTGTGGCTTAATTTTTAAATTATTTTTAATCTTTGAATTCATAAACTCTGAAATCTATAGGTACTCAGATACCTATCAGAGCCAGGCAGATTTTCCTATTCAAATTTCCAATCAGAGTAATGACCACGACT